AACATTCAATGAAACATTAACTATCAAACACCAACTAAAGTCACTAGTCTGTCAAACAGGACTAGATGATGCCGTGCATTTACTCGTTAGTCAAGTCAGTCAATGCTGATCCCGGCCAAGACCCAAGTGAGGGGACAAAGGAAAAATCAAGAAAATTAATGTTTCTAACTTTGGCTGAGAAGTGAGAACCATCACAGGTATTTTGAGGAATTTTAAACCACTGGCTAAGAAGATGTAAGATGTAATTAAATTAATGGTCAATGCTCAAGAGAAGACGAGGTGAGTATAAGCAGCCTGCTCTCTTGCTCATGTTTAGCTTATAAATCATGGCTTATCAGGTAACGAATAGTATTTTTCTCTCATACCAAATTAGCCAACAGTATTTTCAACCATGACTTATAAGCCAAACCAGCCCAAACGAACGGGGAGAAAGATTATAAGAATTCACCTCACAGTAGCCTTCGGTGTTTCTGAATCACATTTCCCCGACAAAACCCAAGGAAGCCATGCGCGAGCACTACCAGAACTTAAAATCCTCGTAAAGATCAGCTGGTATTATTCGAGCTGGTGGAGGTCTGCTGGGATTGAAGAGGAGGGAAAGAGGCGAGGCAGTTAATCAAGCGGGAGGCCAAGAACTGGGGGATGACCATGGTGGAGAGGAGGTATGGTCCCTGTGCCAGCCATGGCTTCTTCCTCCTACGGCTGCTGCTGCCGTTCTTGTTCTTCTTCTCCTTTATTGATGTGCCACCGGCCGCCGCCGCCACCACCACCACACAATCGCCTCCACTAAACGAGACGCAAAAGGCCATCATGTATGATATTGCTAGTCTGGTGAACTCTGTATCCGCCAGCACTAGGTGGAACACTGTCGACAAAAGATGCTCGGCAGTCCACCGAGGGGTATCCCGCGATGGTAGATTTGTCGGTGGGGATGCGCATAATCAGAAACCAGATGGTGACACAAGGCATAGAGACAGCGATTTAGACAGGTTCGGGCCGTCTGATCGACGTAATACCCTACGTCCTGTGTTTTTGGTATATTGTATTGAATATATGAATCGTCTCCACGAGGGGACCCTGCCTCTCCTTATATACTCTGTAGGGGTAGGGTTACAAGAAAAGTAGCATATTTGGTACTATACAATATCTTGCGGTGCACGCTGAGCAGTGCCGTGCACGCCTTGATCTGGTGGGCCGGGCCACCTCTGATGGTGCGGCCCATGTCTTGTCTTGAGGATACCGGGGGCCGTACCCCCACAGCTAGTCCCCAAGCCTGACAGTAGGTGATGTAGTCACGTGGTGCCAGGGTCAGAAAGTAGAAGACCAGCCGAGCAGGCAGCCAGTCCCCGGACGTAGCCTCGAGATGAGAAAAACGCACATTCACCGCAAGGTGAAGTGTGCCCACTTAATCCCCGAGCCTGCTGGAAGATGAAGAATAAATCTTGTAGCAGGGTCAAAGAAAAAGAAGTCTGAAAGCTTGCCGACGTCGTCTGACATGCGTGTATCAAGACCCCAGACGTGCTGCCCAAGATCAGCACCCTGATCCGAACAACATGGAGCAGCTTGATAGCACACCGACAAGACGTAGCAAGATCCGAGCAGCAAGGGAGTCCCCGGCGTCGCTGACGATGTCCGAGCTCCGAAGAGTGAGGAGTCCCCGGCGTCGCTGACGATGTCCGAGCACCGAAGAGCGAGGAGTCCCCGGTGTCGCTGGCGATGTTCGAGCACCGAGGAGCGAGGAGTCCCCGGCGTCGCTGGCGATGTTCGAGCACCGAGGAGCGAGGAGTCCCCGGCGTCGCTGGGGATGTTCGAGCACCGAGGAGCGAGGAGTCCCCGGCGTCGCTGGCGATGTCCGAGCACTGAGGAGCGAGGAGTCCCCGCACACCGGGCGATGTCCGAGTACCGAGGAGTTCCCGACGTGAGCGGCGATGTCCAAGCACCGAGGAGCGAGGAGTCCCTGGCGTCGCTGGCGATGTCCGAGCACCGAGGAGCGAGGAGTCCCCGGCGTCGCTGGCGATGTCCGAGCACCGAGGAGAGAGGAGTCCCCGGCACCGCTGGCGATGTCCGAGTACCGAGGAGTTCCCGACGTAGGCGGCGATATCCGAGCACCGAGGAGCGAGGAGTCCCCAGCGTCGCGGGCGATGTCCGAGCACCGAGGAGCGAGGAGTCCCCGACGTCGCTGGCGATGTCCGAGCATCGAGGAGCGAGGAGTCCCCGGCGTCGCTGGCGATGTCCGAGTACCGAGGAGTTCCCGACGTAGGCGGCGACGTCCGTGCGGTGAAGTGTGCCCACTTAGTCCTCGAGCACGAAGAATCCGAGCGCTGAGGAGTAACCAGCATAGCTGGCGATGAAGCTAGAGCGATGAACAGTCTGGCCAACTGGTCGGCGGCGAAGTGAGCATTGAGTAGAAACGATCGGCGAATAGTCCAATCAACTGGTCGACGATGAAGTCCATGAACCTAGCGGTTCGACCAGTTGATCGGTGGAGAAGTCCGAGCACCAGGTGATCCGACCACCTGGACGAAGATCCTACAATACAAACATGTAGAACGGGTAGTACATGATGTAAAAATATATAAGCTCTGGAGAAAAAATAACGTATGTAGCTGGCCATCAGTTGGTGTGAAGATGTAAATATATTTAATATAAACTGCCCGATCAGTTAGTGTGTAGCTGAGTCTCCAGCCCTAGCTAGCCCATAGTCTATAACGTCGAGCGCGGAGCCCGTGCACATGTAGAAGGAACAGACGTGACCAAGGAGCCGCTGCCGACCAGCCATAACGCAGAGCGCGGTGCCCATGGCACGTGTAGGGAGGAGCCGGAGACAGGGCCGTCTCTGGAGGCGTCCGAGCATCAATATGACTGTTTGGGGGGTTCGAAAAATCGTTTGGAGAAAACCGCTCGGAGAAACATTACGACAATATACGAAGATTGGAGAATATTTAAAAAAAATATTAAAGCGTGACTTAGCTTTAGACATAAAGTCTGATTGGCGGCGTATGACGTTATCTGGTCGGTGACGCGAACAGCTCGCTTGACCGCTCGGATGGCTCGCTTGGTGGCTCGATGCAGTCGGACGGGTACGCGGAGTCGTAGTTGAACGGGCTTGGTCGCTTGATGCAGTCGGAGAGCTTGTTCGATGCCTCGGAAAATCATCTCGGCGGTCACGTCGGCGTTGGAGAGCTTGTCACAAGATGCAATGAATTGACAGTGCTCGGCTTGGTTGCGACCGCATGATGCACACGTACGTATACGTATACACGTGCACATGCATGTGCCCTTGTAGATCGGTGCTTGCCTATTTGCATGCATGCAGACCTGTATAGCGCATGCAAGCTGCGTATCTATTTGCTTCGCATGACATCCGCAGATCGTAGATCGGCTTTCTTGGTTTGCTTATTGTTGATTGGAGAAAATATCCAGCAGCCAGAATATCCACTTTGGCATACGAACCAGCCAGGATTCCCTTCCCACACGTGGTGCTAATGTCGTCGTAGTGGCATGGTTGGCGAATTTGGATTCCTTCCTCGTTTTGAGGACACGGAGGCAGTGTGTAGGGCTCCATGCGAGTCGATTCAGTCTCGTAGCATCTTTGATGGATCCTGATACGGTAGCGGCGGCGGCAATACCCAAAGCCAAGCTTGCCGGATCGGAGTAGACTCCCGTTCCAGTGGCGTGTTGTAGCTAGAACTTGATACGCCGATGTCGTCGGGTGGTGACGCATGCGCCGCATGCCGAGCCCGTAGGGCCGCTGAAGGACGCCGCCGCAGGAAGTCAAGTTGCCACGAGCGGCGTCGATCTTGAGATCCCATCTGGCCCGCCATAGATCAAGCGCACACCCCTACCTGACGCGCCAATTGTCGACAAAAGATGCTCGGCAGTCCACCGAGGGGTATCCCGTGATGGTAGATTTGTCGGTGGGGATACGCGTAATCAGGAACCAGATGGTGACACAAGGCGCAGAGACAGCGATTTAGACAGGTTCGGGCCGTCTGATCGACGTAATACCCTACATCATGTGTCTTTGGTGTATTATATTGAATATATGAATCGTCTCCACGAGGGGACCCCTGCCTCTCCTTATATACTCTGCAGGGGTAGGGTTAAAAAAAAATAGCCTATTTGGTACTATACAATATCTTGCGGTGCACGCTGAGCAGCGCCGTGCACGCCTTGATCTTGTGGGCCGGGCCACCTCTAATGGTGCGACCCATGTCTTGTCTTGAGGATACCGGGGACCGTACCCCCACAAACAATGCAGACCAGAATCCATGCAACTAGAAAGGAATCGGTTGCACAGATTCCAGTTCTTCCTCGGCCGTTACTAGCATCGCCTTGTCAAACTATGGCCTATCGGACTCCTCCATCTTTTCCCACCTTTGCCGTCTTGACACCTTGCTGACCCTTGACCTTTCCAGAAATTCCTTCACAAATTTGTCCGCTCAGTTCTTCGCCTATTCTTCTTGCTCCATGAAAGAAGGGTTGCAGTCACTTAATCTGAGCACCAATCAGTTGGCTAATTCGCTCAGTGATCTATCTGGCTTCCACCAGCTAGAAATTCTTGATTTGTCCTTCAATTCCTTTGCCAGTAGAAGTCTGAGTGCAGACTTGGGTTCTTTTCCCAAATTAAGGAGCTTCAACGCTAGTACCAGGCCCGGCCCTGGGGGTTGTGAGCTGTGCATTGGCACAGGGCCCTCGAAGTCAAGGGGCCTAATCCCAGGTATGTACAAACTATAAGCTATAGCTGGTATACTCAGGTCCAATAGAAAATCATATATGTGGCCTAAAAATACTGGAGCGTGTGAGGAAGAGTCCGTCGATTTCACTTCCGCCGCGGCCGCTCTCTTCGTCGCTTCATAGCTGCGTCTTCGCGTCCGGCGTCATTCTTGCGCGTTGTCGTAAATGAAGGGCCCATCTTTCTGGCCAAGCTCTAGGCCCATAAATTGACAGGACCGGGCCTGGCTAGTACGAATAAGTTGAATGGTGATGTTCCTACCAGTATGGTCAGCTCTTTAGCGGAGTTGGTATTGTCTCGTAATCAGTTGAGTGGTTCAATCCCTCCGGGCTTGTTTAAATATGAAAATCTCACTCTGCTGGATCTCAGCCAGAATAACCTGACTGGTGTTGTCCCAGATAACTTCACGAGTCTCTCCAAGCTCGAGACTTTGCTCCTTTCAGACAATTTACTGACTGGGGAAATACCAGCGAGTCTGTCGAATGTGACAACGCTGACTAGGTTTGCAGCCAACCAGAACGATTTGCTCGGTTCGATCCCCCCTGGTGTTACCAAATATGTGAAGATGCTGGATTTGAGTTACAATGATATCAGTGGGAATATCCCTGCGGATCTCTTCTTTGGTATGAATTTGGAGACGATTGATCTCACAAGCAACAATCTTGAAGGGTACGTTGATGCCAAGTTTTCTAGAAGTCTCTACCGCCTTCGTCTTGGTACAAACAAGCTCAGTGGGGAAATCCCAGGCACGATTAGTAATGCCTCAAACTTGGCCTATCTTGAGTTGGACAACAATCATTTGGAGGGCAATATCCCCCTTAACCTTGGTGGATGCAAGAACTTGACCCTTTTGAATCTGGCATCAAATAGGCTACAAGGTCAAGTGCCAAATGAGATTGGCAACCTTAACAATCTGGTTGTTCTGAAGCTTCAGATGAACAATTTAAGTGGATCTATTCCAAGTACTTTTTCCAATTTCATAAACCTGAATGCATTGAATCTTAGTTACAACTCATTCAGTGGTTCTATACCAGATGGAATTATGAAGTTACAAAATCTTTCCAGCATGAATTTGCAAGCCAATAAGATTGACGGTGTGATTCCAAATTCAATCTCATCGCTGAAGATCCTAATCGAGCTGAACCTGGGGAACAACCTGCTAACAGGCTCCATCCCTGAAATGCCAGCCAGCTTGAGTACAGCACTTAATCTTAGCCACAACCTTCTCAGCGGGAATATTCCTTCAAATATTGGCTTTTTAAGGGAACTAGAGATTCTTGATCTTTCATACAACAACTTGTCAGGTCAGGTACCATCATCATTTGTGAATCTTAATAGCTTGACAGAGTTGGTTCTTGCTTATAACCAACTCTCTGGGTTCCTTCCGACACTTCCTAAACATGCGGCAGTCAATATCACTGGAAATCCTGGACTTACAAATACAAATAGCAATAATATGGACACTGGTAGTAAGAAAAAAAGGCCCACTATTCTAATAATCATCATTGCTCTGGCTGGTGCTCTTATGGGATTGTGTTTGCTTGCTGTTATTGTTACATTGTCATTGTCCAAAAAGGTTTATCGTATTGAAAACGAACATTCACCAGCTGAAGAGGGTGCTGCTCAAATCATCAATGGCAGCTTCATAACTTTGAACAGCACTGACACCACTACACTTGAGTACATGAAAGAAAAGCGGGATGACTGGCGAATCACACCTTTCCAAGCTCTGAACTTCGAGGTTGCTGACATACCTCAGGGACTAAGAGAGGAGAACCTCGTTGGCAGTGGTGGCTCAGGGCATGTGTACCGCGTCACATACACCAACCGGTACAACAGCAGAACCGGGGTGGTTGCTGTGAAGCAAATACGAAGCTTTGGGTCCCTGGACGAGAAGCTGGAGCGTGAGTTTGAGTCCGAGGCTCGCATCCTATGCAACATCCGGCACAACAACATTGTCAAGCTGCTGTGCTGCCTCTCTAGCGCAGACTCCAAGCTCCTTGTGTGTGACTACATGGACAACGGCAGCCTGGCCAAATGGCTCCATGGCGACTACATCCTCCGTGCAGGGAATTCTTTGGCGATGGCACGGCCCGTGCAGCGTGTGCCGTTGGACTGGCCAACAAGGCTCTTAGTGGCTGTTGGGGCTGCGCAGGGCCTGTGCTACATGCACCACGAGTGCTCACCACCCATAGTTCACCGAGACATCAAGACGAGCAATATCCTGCTGGACTCAGAGTTCCGGGCTAAGATCGCAGACTTTGGGGTGGCTAGAATGTTGGTCAGGGAAGGGGAACCCAATACGATGTCTGCCGTGGCCGGATCATTTGGCTACATGGCTCCCGGTAAAGTTCTGCTTTTTGGTTATTTCGGCAAATTTCACTCGTTTTGCCTCAGTATGTACAGTAACTGGGATAGTAGCTACGATATCACAAGTTCTACTATTGCTGGACCTTATGCTATGATTCTTTCATGTTTGTCTGCAGAGTATGCTTACACTAGGAAGGTGAACGAGAAGGTGGATGTATATAGCTTTGGGGTCGTTCTCTTGGAGCTCACAACAGGCAAGAAGGCTAATGATGGCGGCGAGCTTGGTTGTCTGGCAGAATGGGCTCGCCACCATTACCAATCAGAGGCGAGCATCCTCGACGTAATAGACAAGAGCGTCAGATATGCAGGGTATCCTAACGAGATTGAGACGGCGTTCAGGCTAGGCGTCGAATGCACCGGCATCTTGCCATCGCCACGGCCGACTATGAAGGACGTGCTGCAGATTCTGCTGAAGTGCAGTGAGCGGACGCTCCGGAAATGCAGAATGGAGTGTAGCATGGAGTTTGAAGCAGCTCCATTCCTGCTGCTATAGAGGGGCACCTCTTTATATATTTGCATTCACTTTCCTTTCATTTTCAAACCTTTGCATTTTGTTACCAATTTGCTTTGGAGCAAAATCTCCATAGATTGACTTCCGTTGTACAAGAAGCCCAAGGTTAAGTTCCCCCAACAATTAAAACAATCATGTGTTTTTGCCCTTTGCTTCCATGAATTGTCTTGTAATGCTGAGATTTTTATTGAGATGGTGGGTGCCAAACAAAAGGCGAAACTAAAACATTTGGATTCCTAGGTTCTAGAAACCGGAAGTTTCTTAAACTAAAATACAGTGATATTAAGTAATACTCTCTCCGTCCTCGAATAAATTAATTCCTAGAATCTGTGTGCCAGTCAAACTATCTTAAGTTTAACTAACTTTATTGGAAAGAATAATAACATCAATGACATAAAATGAGCACATTATGAAAATATATTCTATGGTATATCTAATGATACTAATTCGGTGTCATAAATATTGATGGCTTTTTTTCTAGAAATTCGGTTAAAGTTTTAAAAGTTTAGCTTCAGACAACTCTAGAAATCTATTTATTCAGAGATAGAGGGAGTATTAAGTAGTACTAAACCAACTAGTTCATTGTCATGTGACTGACAGTGGACCTGGCGGATTGTGGCTCTGCCCGTCACGATTGGTTTGAGGTGTGTTTGGTCAGAGCGCAAGATAGAATGGAACGTTTACATCCCAAGGTCTAGGAATTGGATGGTCCTGTCTTAATGTTGAGTCTTGACGTTTAGTTATGTTTAATTTGAAGGATGGAGCGGTTCTATTTTGTTTAGTTGGAGAGATAGAGGGCGTGATTATTTTGGTGCATACTTGTTGGGCCTAAAAATATAGTTGGGCCATAGTGCAATAGCTTCGTTAGCAAGAGACCAGGCTGGCAACTTCCCGGGTGCGTCAGGGGTAGTCATCGATGGGCTCACTGATGCTGAAACAACCGAGGCGATTGCTTGCAGGGAGGGTTTAGCTTTGGCCTTTGATCTTTCGCTGAGGTGCTTTTGGTTGGCTTCCAAGAACGTCAATGTCATAAGAAGTGTTGGAGGAGCATGAATGTGTTCGTATGGCCAAGATGTAAAAGAGATAAAGGCTAGGGCACTTGATTTTCTTTCTGTAGATTTTTCTCTTGAGAGTAGAAAATCTAATGTTGATGCTCACAACTTAGCCAGAAGCATGTTTTCTTTTGAGACAAGCTATTAGAACCGCCTGTTGGTGTTTATAACTCGTATGATCAACTCCATAAAATATAAATGAAGAGTGTGGATTCTCTCAAAAAAAAAGAAGAAAAACTAGTCTGTTTATATAGTGAGTGACTATTTTGTATCTGCGTGCAACGAGAACTGTCACGGCTTTTTGTTTTGTTTTGCTCTTAATTCTTTAGTCACCTGTGTGCTTTCACCTAAACAAAAAACAACTCCTCAATTACACTTCGATTTGTAATGCAATTGCAACTAGCACTTATTTATTAGCTACTTAATTGAGTCTCACTCTTCACCAACCCAATTGACACATCTCTCTAACACCAGTGGTGGAGCTTGAACACCATCTATCGGGTTCATTAACACGGGGACCCTCGTGGACCGGCTTCCACGCCAAAGCTTGGCCCAGGCGACAGCATGTAACTCATGGGCCGGCCCAAGTGTCTAAAACAACAGGCCGGAAGGGCGGTCCAGTCACCGACCGGAAGGTCTGGCCGAGGAGGAACAGCACCCGCTCATCGACTACTTCGGCCCAACTCTCCGACCGGAGCGCTCACTTCGGACTCCAGCCGCCTCCGGACGGCCTCTCCGATCAGAAGGCCTGGCCCAAACACTACTTCCGACTCCGACCCCGCACTCTCCGACCGGGGATACGCCCAGCCCCAGCTCACCGCCCTTCTCCGACTGCCACGATCAGAACCAACTGGGATCAATCGATCGGGGACACCTGCTCGGTAGGGACCAGGAGACGTGCGGAGAAAAGCGAGGCAAGCTCACAAGTCAAACCACGGTACCAGGGACCATACCCTGCACGGAACAGTACTCCACAACCGCCCTAACACAAACAGTATTGTAGGCGCCGATATTTCCCTCCACAGTATTGTGGGCGCCATTAACTCCCATACGGTAAGCCCCCCCCCCCGCATGCCTCTGGGCAGCACCAGTGTTGTGGGCACCGGGATTTACCATACCGAGTGCACATGGTGAGACTCCTCACATGCCTCTGGGCATCAATAGTGTAGGCAGGTACCGACATCTGCCATACCCAGACAAAGACGACGGAACCTCCCATGTGCATCTGGCATCCAACAGTGTTGTGGGCGCCTACCATCATCCTGTGCCCGTCGGCGTGGGCAACAAGGCTAGAAGCATTCGCACTCTCTCCCTATCACTTGTAAAGCCATCCCCTTCATCTATAAAAGGGGATATGCCCTCTCCCAAAGAAGGGGGACCTTTTTAGTTAATCAACACCAATCAAGTTCACTAGCTCACAACCACAGATCCGCCGTGTTCGGACCTCAAGCACACGCTTGAACACTTAGCTCATAGCGTAGCTCCTATTGCTCTCGGCCCTTCCGACCAGAGCCGACCGGACCTCTTGTACACCACATCTTTCTTCTTCTCGTTTGTAACCCCACTGCAAACTTCGAGCACCTGAGCTCAGGAACAAAGTCACCGACCGACTCAAACTGGACTTAGGGCACGTTGCCTGAACCAATATAAACTCTGTGTCATTGAGTGCTACGCCACCTTCGATCACAACGTATAGCAAAACTACAAATATTTACTAGTTGGTCACTTTTTGTACCGACAGTTGGCGCCGTCCATGGGGAAGACGTTGTACATTCAACACTTTTTGGTCATCGGATGGCCCACTTTTCCGCCACCCTCGCTGTGGCGAGCTCAGGCGATACGATTCGCTTCGACTCGCTCGAGTTTCCCACTCCCCCACCGAGTGGGATGCGGGTTCCACCCGTCTTCGAGTCATCCCAGGCCTTCCTCTTCGAAAGCCTGGACTTCATCGCCGACCGGCTCGGCGTACTACACCTCCACGAGGAGGCTCTCGTTCCGGCGCCCATCGGAGGGGCACCCTTCATCAACTCTGGGACGCACAATGACTTCGACGGCATGGCATCTGCGCTTCATTCCGAGCAAACTCTCTGCTCAAACCCCGTTGTGAGTAATGTACATGCTATTATTTACTTGCTATTTTCTATCTTCCGCCGATTACCTGAAGGAACCCCGTTGTCCCCAACGCGACCGCCATACGACCGGTTCCCCTACGGCCTCGCGTCTTCCGCAGACGCATACGCCCGGGGGCTCCGTACGATGCCAGCGCTGCCCCCTCTCGCATCCGAATTCGTGGGAATGGCGAGCTATGCTCCCACCTGTTTTCTCGACCTCATGGGACTCTCGTGATGGCTCTAGCATCGGCGACATGGCGCCTAGCCACCGTCCGTCTCGGGAGTGCGCCATGGCGGATGCTCCGGGACACCCACCGGTGGAAGCAGAGTCCTCACAGACTCACACCTCACCGGACTCTCGTGCGGAGCCCCCCGAGCTCACATGGGAGCACGGCGAGGCACTACAACAACAGTGGCTGCATCAACCACCGACTCCGTCAGGTCCAGCGCAACACCATGGACAGGGGGACCGATCCCCCACAGTTCGCTCGGGCCAGTCAGAACATCGCCGTCGCGGCAATGCTTCTGCACGACCTGTCCGAGCCTAATGACCCTCACGAACAGGTGACCCACCGGAACCTCCAGGCACTAGTGGAGACCACCGCCGTACAACAAGCAGAGAGCTCCACATCATGACGCCAACTCGCGACCTCACTCCCCACTAGGGGAATGGGGACGCGGCAGACGGGTCGCTCCACCCGATCACCACGACGATCGCTGAGCGCGGCACAGGAGGCCGCATTGGCACCTCGCCTTGACTTAATGACCGCTCCATACCAACCACCTATCTACGCGGCTCAGGTCGAATCGAGACACACGCAGCAGCAACCAAAGTCCCAGCCCTGATAGCCCAGGACCGCGGACCTTTGTCCTAAACCTCCAACAAGCGCCGCTCCCGCCGCGCTCACGACGGAGGCCGAGGCAAGGGCAAGGCCAAGTGCCAGGATCAGGATGAGAGCCCCTCCATGCAGAAGGGAAAAAAGAACAGAAAGAATCGCTGCCGACCAGCCATCTCTGCGTTGGTCGCCACGGCTGATCACGCGGGCACACAGCCCCAACAGGACCCTCTAGGCCACTTCCACGAGCTCATGGAGAGCCCGTGCACCAACCACGACTATCCCGTCAAACACCTCTACAAGGACTGCCAGCTCCTCAAGCGCCTTCTACAGGAGGCTGGCAGACCAAAGGAAGAAAAAGGCAAAAAAGCAGCAACCGAGAAAGGGGGTGTAGCGGGCAAGGATCCGGACGACTGAAGGATGAAGTGATCCGACCGGACGCCTACCAACTAAAGGACAATGACGACGGCCTTCTCTCCGAATGCTTGGAACAGCTATGCCGCTTTTTCCCTAAGTTTCAGTCTTACCATTGTTTACTTAACGTATGCTCCTTTAAAAAACACCCCGACCCAAACACTTTTTGGCCCGGGGCGCTCGGGGCTCCACTAGGGGCACTACTACCTCTCTCTTTTGTTTATTATCATATGGTGAATTTCCTTCCTACCCGATCAAAAGGGTAGTTCGTTCCTTTATTTTGTTTTACATAGCTTTGCTTTAAAACATCCCGATCGATCGCACCCCACATTTCCCTACAGTTACAAGCAGCTGAGCTTCATGAGCCACACCCAGGCTCCCAAGGTTGCAGCCTATGGGACAAGTGGGTAGGTACGAGAAAGAAAGAATAAAAAACAAAATTATGCTAAGGGAAAGCTAAGGAACGAAGGGGAACAAGCTTCCCCGAACGGAGTAACTCCATCACAGAAAACAAAACCGACTGTAGTCATTAAATACACTGGAACGTTTACACGAGGGCTTCCCCATGA